CGAGGCGTAATAGAAACAACAGTGTGATCAGTCAAGGGCACGACGGAGGTCGCTCCATTTCTGGCGGAGATTCTCATGGTTCTCGGAAATCTGTTAAAGTTCGTCAGTCTCGGCATCTCACGCTGAGTATTGAAGGGGATATCTTACCTCTGCCCACTTCATTTTCGTGGCAACCAGCTCCTTCTCCATGTCCGACATTGATTCTTCCATCGCACGGTTCTCGTTTTGCACCTCGATGTTCCGTTTCATGATCCGTTCCATTTCTAGGCGAAGCTTCTCCTCGACTTCGGCCGGCTGCTTGTCGACCACGTTCTTGAGTTCGCTCACCTGGAGTTCCAGCGCCTCTTTGATGTCACGTAGCTCCTCATTCTCGACCTTGACGTGAACCAACTCGGAGGCCAATTGCACATGCTCCTTGTCTGATGCTTCGGCACGTTCCTCGAGAAGTCGGACACGTGCACCCTGCGTGCTCACCGTGTGCCGCAAGTGCTCCAGCTCGACTTCACGCTCTTTCTCGGTTCGAGTCTTTTCCTCCCATTCGGCGGTGTACGCGGCAAGCATCTCAGAGGTGAGGGGAATGGCACAGGCGTCCTGCACCATGATGTCGGATCGGTAGATCTCCTTATCAGAGGCACCGGAGCTTCCAAAGAAGCCTGACTCCAGGATCGACGAGGTGGATGGCTGCTTGTCGATGTAGGCGTCGAACAAACGCTCTTTCAAGAAAGTAGTGAGCACACTCATGTCTTTCATTTCAAGCAGCGCGTCTGCATTTCGTCGCATGATCGCAACGCCGAATTTGAGGATAGTAGTCTCCAGTCCCTCTTCGAAGATCAGGTCGTAGATGCGAAGCACCAGTTGTAGCGGGAAACGGTAGGCAAACAGTGTCAAGAACCACTGGGTGGCGTAGAGCTGAGGAGGAACTCCACGGCGCCGGAGATGGCAGTAGAGAGCGGGTTCTAGGTCTTCTAGAAGTCGCTCAAATTGGTATAGACTACGGTGAAGCCCGGGCATATCCTGAATGAACATATCTCGTAGAGAGTACTTGTTCATCAGCTTGACCATCATGGCGAAAGCATCGACTTCGTCCATCTGTGTAAAACGTTAGCTACTGAGACCGATCAGCTTGATTAAGGGTATACTCGCATTGAACAGCAATGGCATAGCAATAAAGTTCATGCCTTGCGCGTATCCAACTCCTGTGTCATACAAGGCATATGCTTTGCACAGCCCAAAGAGACCTTCTTGGCTGCCCTGGGAAACAAAGTATTTCGCGTAGCTAGTGCGAGCGCCCAGGTCTCGCCGGATGACCTTCTCCAACTTTTGCAGCGCAACGGCGTCTGTCTTTGCTTTCTTCAGACGCTCGGCCTCATTTGAGGCATTTTCCTTGGACAACTTATCTGTGTCTCCTTCGTAAGATGGACTAGGGGCAGCACTGCTAGACCGTGATACGGAACCCGAGTGGTGGGAGCGGACTGAAGAGCGCGACGACGTGCTTTCAGTGCCATTTATTGTTCGTCCATCTTTGTCTTGTGCTGTGCCACGCGCCACGAGTTCTCGATAGATGTCCTCCATCTCAGCAGTCTGGCAATCCGCCAAGATTTGCCAAATCACACCTCGGATCGTCTGAGGAATACCTCGTTTGATGGCAGCATTCAGTTCCTCTGAGCTCGCCAAGGCCTGGGGTCCATTGTTCACCAGGTGCTGCCACATCTCCCAATCCACCGGGATTGAAGCATCAGCCACAGAACTCGTTCTCCCGGGAGCGACAATCGTCGAAGGTGAAATGCCTCCTGATGCTGCCAAGATGCCCTCCTCTCCTTCCTCCGGGATTATTGGGGGGGCTAGCTCCAGATTGGCTGATGCTGGCCTGGCCCGATCGCACACTCGTCTGATCGACCTCTGGCGCATGGCTTTCCTCGCGTAGACGCAGCATTTTGAACTGATCCTTCAAGCTATTGCGTCTCGGCTTCTTTGAGCCGACGCTCGAGACGTCATCGCCATCACGAGCAATCTGGTCTAGATTGCTGCCGAGGGTTGACACGGAGGTGGCAGTGTTGCGTCGGCTGGCAGAGTGGGGTGGGGATTTTATGTCCTTCGCAGTGGCCGAGGTTGAGCTTCGAGAGAACCACGCAAAGGGGCCACTGGACTTTCTAGGAGGGGCTGGCTGGGGAACAGGTGGATTCTTGTTCACTGGAGGAGCCGCCCATGGGACTGAGGGCAGACCACCCGACAGACCCATCAGCCCTGCGCTTGCCGGAGGGGTGGGATCGTCCTTGGGAGGTAACGGAGGCGGTTCTGGCTTGTCCCCTGTGCCCTGTGGCTTGTCCATCGACTCGTCTTCCTTGCTGTTCATCAGGTTCACCTCGTCGAGTGAGGATGATGTTGATAAACGGTGGGATGTGAGTAGAGGTGACTTCTGGAGTGGACTCTGATCGTGGTCTTCTTCGTTCTTCTCTACTTCTGTCTGCGTAACCTCGGACCCTTGCTCCGGCTTGTCACCCTGGGTGGGCTCATCGGTCGCGGCGTTCACCTCGTCGTTGGTGTCATAGTTATTTTCATCGTCGGTATCCGTGCCTTCATCCTGCTTCTTCCCCTTTCTCTTGTTCTTCTTATTTTTCTTGTTATTCTGTCCATCTTGCCCCTCGCCATCCTTGTCCTGCTCATCGACGGTCTCTGTCTTCTTCTCGTCCTGCGATTCAGAAGGGAACGGAGGTTTCTCCGTCGATTCCGGAGACATAAGTGAGCCAATTGGAGGACTGTCGGTCAACGATCGGGTGGAAGTGGACTTCGGGATGGCGACGTTGAGGTTGTTGTTCTCCTGGATTTCGGGTGTTTCAAGGGCGTCGTCAAAAGACTCCTATTCAGACGGCGATAAGCTCATGTCAAGGCAAACTGGTCTGGAAAGATAGATCCGAGTCTTAACCACTTACCCCTTCGTATTCAGGACTGTGTTTAGGAATAGACATGTCGGCCATAGCTGTTTCGATGACCTCACAACAATCAGAAGATCAAACACTCCATAGGATCGCAAGAAAGCAAAGGCTCAAAAGAGCTAAAGGACAAGAATTGCAAGGGAGTGGAATCCGCGAAAAAAGGGAAAAAAGATGGAATGAGGAAGGAATTGAAGGGATTTGACGAGTTCCAAGTCGAATGGCCAGGTACACTCGCCGCTGATTGGCCCCAGAGGGCGGAACGGACAGGTCGGGGACGTTGGGAATGCATTTGCATATTCTACGATATGTATGTTCTATATGTGCAGGGGATTATAATTAGCCGATCTTGATGCATCTATATACTATGTTTACTCCGTAGTATGTTTTAATAAAAAAATAAGAATGTCTTAACTTGGTATTCTGGTTTCTCTAGGAATTCAATGTCTCATGGTGGCACTATATATAGTGAGCAAAGGGGTAAACAAATAGTCCAACTGATATGCGCAGATAGGTATGGAACTATTGATTTTTCACAAAGTCTTCTCAAAATCAAGCCATCTTTCTCGTCGCAATGGATCCAGCTTCTTCAATTCTGAGAGCCAGCTCAGAATCTGGTCCCGATCCTTAGAAGACAGGCTGCCTTCCACCTTGGATGCGAGAAGGGTGCACTCAATTAATGCCTGGTAGATGTATTTGCAGTCTTCAGCCCCATCCAGCATCTCCTGGACCTCTTCAATCTCATTTCTAATGTACTCCAGCCGGTCGGATGAGCTCAAATTGGGAGCTAGAGTTCGGCCGGCCATTGACGGGTCAAATACACTCATCAAATTTTGGTGATAGAACCAAAGTGACTGATCATAAGGATCAATAAATGCTTGATGAATGAGAGATAGTTCTAAAGAAAAATACCCCAAATTAGCATAAGTCAGACTCCGATGAGACAGGCTAGACCAACCGTCATCCAACATTCTTTTCCGATCGTCATCGCTGGCAGATTGCTCATCCAAAAGAGATTGGATAAGCTTTGTCCGGTAATGCCACGCGGAGAAGTTGGAAAGATTAGCGCCAATCATCTTCTTGGCGTATTCAAATTCCTTCTGAGTCATGCTTGTTGCTTCTTCAGCAGTGCCAAGCTCCTTCAAGGTCTCGACCACGAAGCGTCGATAACCCCACCCGTGGAAATTCCGGCTATCAAGAGTCAACATCTTGCCTACAAGGGCAAGTTCTTGCTGCCAGATTTGCCGGGCCTCAGGAAGGGGTAGTAGACGGCGAGCTCCATCCAACAGCCACAAACGATAGTTCCAGATCCAGTAGCACTTAGGGAAGCTCCGGAGAAGGGGAATCAGGAAATGTAAATCATTTATGATTAACTCTGAGATTGAATGGGCAGCAGTCTCATCATCCGAATCCCCTGCCTGAGAGAATTGATACTGCAGTACCTGCCGGCGGTAGTTCCAGGCTGTGTAGTATTCTGGATTGCTAGACAGCAGCTCCGAGATCTTCTTCAATGTCTCGAGTGTGTACTCATGCTCAGCTACCTGCCATGTGTCAGGCTGTGTTTATACATGAGATTTATATGATGACCAACCTTTTTAGATACCAGACGCTCGAGATCCTTGTAATTTTCTATCTTCTGCAACTCTTGCTGTCGTGCCTCGGTGGACTTCTCAACTGGTTTGTACCGTGGCACACCATGCTATTGCAATCGTCAGCCCTGCAGCGGTACATCCATGGGGATTTAATCTCACACTGGGCATTTTCACTTTTTGTTTGACAATAAGAACCAAGTAAAATGAGTTACCTAGGTAGGTTGCTTTGTGTTGATCAGATGCCCGCCAGCTAGAATTATCTCATTGGTGCATGAGGCGGTGGGGTAACTTACGTAACCTCCCCGGTATCTGTATAGCTTCACGTGATTAGTACTCTTTCTACTTTGGGGACTTGTCTTTGCTTCATCGCCTTTCTCGTCTTGCCGCTATGCCTTCAAAGAAAGGCCTCCTTATACATTCCTTTTCTTAGCTCTAGGTCATTACTCATACACAGCTTATCGATCTGCATCCAAAAACAATGGTAGATATGCAACGTCACTCCTTCGAGGAAACCTCTATAGGAAGTCACAAGCATCCTTTGACTTTACACTCTCAATCCGAGTTTTCCAAGGGTAATGGGCCTGTGCAAATGACTGAATTTGCAACCATCAATTTGCCATTCTTTGAAACACCTACTTCTCAGTCATTGTCAAAGCCCAAGGCCCAACCTGTTCTGACATCCGTCCCTCGTTCCAAAGAAAATCGGGTGTCATCACCCAAAAGAGGTCGCAGCAGAGTAAGGAACAATGGGAATACAGCAGTAGCAAGAAGTTCCTTCCGAAGTCCCATGTCGCCTGATAGATTCATCCCAAAGCGAGACTTTGTGGAACCAACATCAACAACCTTTCGTGTGGCCAAGCATCCACAGCGCCTTTCGCCTCAGGAGAGACTATTTCGACGACTTCCTCCCGGAGATGATCCATTCCTACCCTCAATCCCGCGTATGACTTATGTTGCTACCAGACCCCTGCAGCCAACTCGACTCCAGCAGATCCCACATCAACGGCCTCGTCTAGTCACTGAAGGCAATATCACAGGCAACAACGCTGCACACGAATCTTTGAGACGGATCAGCTCTGGTGCAGTTTGGAACGTGGGTGGGCCTTCTGCAGTCCTCGGTGGTTCCCTTGTTGAAGCTCCTAATGACACGCCGATCACGTCGACCAATGGATCATCAACTGCCCCAAATTTCGTGGCTCGATTCTTGCCCAAGAAACCCAAATACAGTGAACAAGAAATCCATGAGTCAAGGCTTGCACTTGCTTTGGGGATTGACCCAACGACTAGACAGCTTGGTACTACCTGTTTGCGGTATCTGGATGCTCCCCCAATCAAGCATCTCCAGACTTTGAGCGCCTTTCTCCATATAATTGGAAGGACAATGCTTGGAAGAAAGTTGAAAAGGAGCGTTGTAAGTGCAACTATAATTTGTAACAGCCACTCCCTGAGCCCACCTTTGGAATAAATTTACCATTTATAGATACAATATATATGATATTTTAATCCAACTTTTGGAAATTGTGAGACTGGCGGTATCCACAGCCTTCTCCGGGGCATCAACTGACTCGATTGATTCCTAGGGCGCGCATCTCCTGCCAAAAAAGAGATTGTTCCACCCAAGCCTTTTCGAATCCTTGATGCCCCCTTCCTTCGGGACGATTTTTACTGCAGCACTCTTGCATACTCAACAACTTCTGGGATACTGGCTGTGGGCCTGGGCCATCAAGTATATCTCTGGTCTGAAGGCCATGGAGTGGATTATCCCCCCTTTCCAGATCTACACCCCTCAAATTATGTGACCTCCCTCTCGTTTTCTTCTGAGGATGGCGAGCGAAGCATCCTTGCAGTGGCCCGGCGATCTGGTCAGCTGTCTCTATGGAGCACATTCGAGAAGCAAGCCCGGTTTGAGATCAGTCATCCCAGTACCCTTACATGCGTGGCATTTAAACCGAAAACATCACGGCGACTTTCAGAACGGTTCATGCATGTGTTAGTCAACGTGGAAGAGATTGTTGTCGGTGATGACTTTGGGAATATTTGGTACTATTCGGTCGAGTGGTCTGACCAAGAAGACCAAGCTAAGTGGAAATGGAACGGGTCCATGACGCTTCTTGCCAAGATCTGTGCACACACTCAACAAATCTGTGGGCTGGCTTGGTCACCCGATGACAAGTACCTTGCCACGGGCGGTAATGACAACGCCTGCCTTCTCTTTAAACTTACCGAGATTGTTCCACGGCAGCATTTGAAGTATACGGTCCCGCCCACTACGCCCCCAGATTCCCCTAGCAGCTTCAGTCTCGGTGTATTTCCATACCTTGCACTGGGCACCGCAAGAAGACGATTGTCTCTTAAACGACCTGCTCTCCCATCATGGCTTGCTGCTCCGACTAAGCCTCCGGCCACAGCCGCGCTTTTAAACCATGCAGGCACTCTAATTTCAGGTGGTGGGCGAACGATTCTAGTCCCATACGGCCGTCAGAAGCATCGTCTGATGCACTCCGCTGCGGTCAAAGCAATTGCATTTGCGCCATGGCAGTCATCCCTGCTTGCGACGGGGGGAGGTACCAACGACAGAGCTATACACTTTTATCATACCCGGAGCGGAGCCTGTCTCGCAACCATCAATGTCTTTGCGCAGGTGACCAGTCTTATATGGAGCGAAACTCGACGTGAGATTGCTGCTACTTTCGGTTATGCACAGCCCGATCACCCATTCCGAATCGCTGTATTTGCCTGGCCCAGCTGCGCACAGGTGGCCGTCGTTCCCTGGGGGCCCTATGGAACCACCTGGGACGGCCCCGACACTCGAGTCAGCAACTTCGACTGCGGAAGGGCACTATGGGCAGTACGATATCCAGGGAAAGTCCCTCGTTGCCCGGGTGTATACTCTAATACATCGGACAGTCAGTCATCGTCACCCTCGTCAAGCCGGAGTCGGCCTACAGAGCGAGGAGCCCCGACCCAGGCTTGCAAGGTCAGCAGTCGCAAGGTCGGTGCTCGGATGGTCGCTCCCAAGGAGAAAGAAGGCGGAATGTGGTGCGCACGAACAAAGGAGGAGGGATGCATTATTGTCGCGTCTAGTGATCAAACCGTGAAGTTCCATGAAGTCTGGACTGGAAGAAGGACAAATACTACCTCTGCTTGTGGACTTTTCGGCGGAAGCGACATTCTCGAGGGCCTGGAAGGAATTGAGAAAACTGGTGATGAAGTCATTCGTTAGTACTCTTTGTCTTCTTGGGTCTGGGTACTAGGTACTCTCACTATCATTAAAGGCCTATATTTTTATTAGTTCAGTACTAAAAAGAGGGAACTTGGGTAAGTTTTATCATTCTTTGTTCTGAGGAATCGAATTCTTGGGTTCTTGTTTTCTATATTACAATCGAGCATCTTCAGTGTCTGAAATCAGTCCATATCCAAAGCACACTAAGGCTGTGGGATTGGACTGTGTATGGGAGCTCCGGTGTAGATTCTTGACTGGGCTCATGGCTAGATGTGATATCTACTGTCGAATGGAAGGGAAGGTCAACATTCAATATAACACCACACATAACAAATATCATATACTGAGTAAAAACCCTCCAATCAACCCTAAAATCTCACATTCCAAGTAATATTATGCAATCAAATACATTGACCTCTGCATTAGTCCCAGCCTATTACAGGAACTATACTCCGTATAGGCTTATAGAACGCCGATCCCACTCCACCTTTCTTCAGCTACCCAAAACATATCTCAGCTCTTCGATCTTTCATTATTGTATCTTCTTTCCTCTTAATTACCTCTCCATCACACAATCCACCTCCAATTCCCTCGAAATGCGCCCTCGAAACCTCATCCAATTCATCCTCCCATCCACAATCCTCGCTGAATCCCCCGATACCTCCCTCGGCTCCACCCTTAATGTGACCGTCATCGGCGCGCGCCACAATCGCTCCACCTTAGAGTGCTGGGCTCTCCAGCCGGGATTCAAAACTTCCGATCAACCCGGGCAGATCGGGACCGCTACGCTGGATCTAGGGAGTACCGGTGGGAACGCGTCGTATACGGTGTTGACAGCTGGATTTGATGGCGGTAGACATAATGCACCTGCTTTGCAGTAAGTGGTTCTTCTCCTTTTTTTTTTCTTTTTTAAACATGTCTTTTGCTATTTCAGAGTCATTGGTTCTGAATGAGTCGTTCTTTATACATGTTTTCAGGGGGTTTGTTTTTTATAGTCCACACTTCTTGGCTAATTCCACACTTACAGGTGGGTGGTCTTCCTCTCCGGCTTAGCGCATATCACGCTTCCTAACTCGACAACCGAGGCTTGGATTCAAGGTGGCAAGAATGGGGCCATTCTGGCTCTCGACACGGCTGATGTCAGTGCATTGGGTCACTTCACTGCCTATCCCTCACAGGATCGGACGACATCCGTGCTGATCCCCCTCGGCGAGAAAGGGGTGCCGGGTCATCGGGTCCTACATAACGGTCCCTGTCAGGGGGAGGAGTTGCTCATATAAATCTTTAGCTATGCATAAAAAGTGGTCTGTAGGATTTATGCGTTTTATCGTCTTGATATACATCTAAAAATAACATCCAAACAGCACATCCGGATTTGCACGGTAGCTACGGAAGGAGAGATATCAAGACACCAAGGTAGGATTCAATAGACATTGATAGAGACGCAGAGGCGCTCGGTAGAGGCACAAGATATCGAAAGCAAAAGATAAAACAAAGAAAAATGAAATGCAGACCCGGTCGGATGCATCGAAAAATAAGATATGTTCTTTTATAGACCGTTACCCCCTTCTCCCATCTCTAATTCGTACAACTTCAAAGAGACACGCTTATTTTCTGCCGCCCTTGCTCTTCTTTCCGACAGAAGCAGAAGACTTGCTCTTCTTTGATGGCGGGGGCTGCTGCTCAGCAGCATCGTCAGACTCATCATCTTCCGTATCGGCAATGAAGTCAACCATGGAGCCATCGCTATCCTCATCCTCATCCTCATCCTCGTTCTCCTCGAGCGATTCCTCGGCATCGGAAGAACCGACAGACTCAGCAGCCTCAATGTCCAAAATAGGCTCTTCGTCATCATCCTCATCGTCGCTTCCATCATCCTCGTCATCTTCAGACTCATCAACGCCGTTCATCATTGACTCATCCTCATCGTACGCCTGGTCGCGTATTGACTTCCGCGGCGTCTTAGCCTCGGTCTCACTGTCCTCGAGATCTTCCTGGCCTTCGACGTAGATAACATTATCCTCGTCCTCGCTGTCCATACCCTCATCTCCGCCACGAATAGATTGCCGCAGTTCCAATTGGGCATCGAGCATGTCAAGCTTGCCCTTGAGGAGCAGGAGGGATGGCAGGCTGGCAGAGCGCTGGTCCATGACCTTGTAGAGGGAAGTCATGCGTTTCAAGAGATCGGGGTGGCCAGCCAGGGCGCCACCGTGAGCAACGCAGGTCCACTGTACCCAGACGAGAAGGTGGCCATAGCGACCAGGCCGGGAAGCGAGGCGCTCAGCAAGTTTTTGAAGCAGAGTCGCGGCCAGAGAGGAGTCGAGACGCTGAATGGTAGTGCGGATAATGGCTGTGTCACCGGTGTGGAAACAAGACTCGAGCATGCTGTTATCGTTGGTCTTGAGCGACTGTGTGAGGACAGTAGCAAGTGAGACACCGGTGGGAATCTGTTGCACTGCGGCCTGGGGTTTGCCGGGAACCAATGCGCCCAGGAGGACGTCGTCATCAAGCTCGGCCTCGACGTCGACTTCCTGGCCTGCGTTAGCGCGGAGGAGTTCTCCAAATGATGGCTCTGCGCCCTCTTCTTCTTCCTCTTCCTCCTCGGAATCGGATGCGTTCTGCATCTCAACGTCCTCAGTCGCTGCAACTTGCTTGGTGGGCTTTGTCTTCTTCTCGGTGGAAACCTTGGACTTCTTGTTGTCCTCGTCATCGGAGTCCTCCTCGCTACCAGAGTCGGATGCGTCTTGTCGTGAGTCCTCCATCTCTACATCATTATCGACCAGGTTTCCCTGTTCGACGTTCATGCGAGACTCGTCAACGCGAGTCTCGCCTGAGCTCTTAACTCCATTCGTTGTGACGGAAGAAAGTGCTGAGCCGGACTTGGTCTTCACCACAGTCTTGATTCCGGTGAAAGAAAGCTCATCGGTGTTCTCATCGATGAACTTAACACGCTCAAATACAGGAATCACACCACCCTCGGTGTATGCAACCACGAGAGTAGGGCCCTGGAATGAGATGGCCGCGACGGGAACGCAGGCGTTCGAGGAGTCGGTGTTGGTGATTTTGAGAGTTGCATTTGCTTTCTGGGTCATCTGTTTCCGGCTAGCCTTGGCACTGGCGGAGGGCGCACTTTGGGGCTGAACAAATGGCTTCGTGAAGAGTTCGATGCTGCCATCTGCGGTGACTGCAGCAAGAACTTGCTTCTCTGGGGCGGCAACACCATCAGTTTGCAGGGTAATGGACGAGACCTCCTGGTCGGCGACAAGGTTGCGAACAAGCTTCTGGGTGGTGGCATCAAAGACGTTGACAAAGCGGTCACCATCGGATGCAAGGAATGCACCCACTCCAGCAGACTCGGAAGAGGACGAAATGACGGTGTGGATAGGGTTGCGCATGGCAGGGAACTGAACCGGCTCATCGGCCTTCTCGGTATCTATTAAGTACGGGGTCTGGGAAGCGCAGATAAGAGGAGGGTTCGAGGGAACGGGGCGGGAGAGAGCAGTGAAGACTGAGGATGCGGGGAGGTGGATTGTCCTATAGGTATATTATTAGTTAAGAGCTCGGTGTAGCCCAGCAAATATCAACACTTACTTGGTGCTTTGTCCGGTGCGCAGGTCCCACTGGACAAGCTTATTGTCACCACCGATACTCCAAGCCTCCTGGGCGGGCCGATCGGCCGTGAACTTGAAGTCCTTGATACCCTTGTCGTGTGCGCCGGTCAAGGTGCCAACCACCTTATCTTCGTATGGAGAGTACATGCGGATATCCGATGTGTTTGTGCCGAATGCAACCACGATATCGCCCTGGTCCAGGCCATCAACAGCCCCATTGACATCGGAGCCGCGCTTGCGCTTCTTTTTCGACTGGTCACGGCCCTTGCCCGAGCCACCGTAGTATCCCCAGTCCAAGGAGGTCACCGTTTCCTTCGGCCCCAGAGCATGCTCACACTGGAGGCGTCCTGTCTGTGTGTCGTGAATGCGAATGTGCTGGCCATCGAGGCCTTGGATAACGGACGCAAACAGGGCCAATTGGTACTCTGACGGGGAGAATGCAGCGCGCAGGATGGACGATTTGCTGCCCGCATATGTCATGCCCGACGCCGGCGATGCGGCGGCCGAGGCGACCTTGGTGGATGGGCGAGTCGTCTTCTTTCCCATCTTGGCTATAACTTTTTTTCTTATCGTTTTTTTTCTCGCAGTCGAGGGTATGGTGATGTGAAGATAAATATCAATAGAGCAGACCCAAATAAAGACAGCAAAGATTCCGATAAGACTCTATTTTTTTCCGCCCCTAAGGAAACAAATGGGGGTTTAGGCTGGTGGTTTCGCAGTTGATCCGGACAAGAAAAAAAATGTTCTGTAGAGCCTTGATGAGCTAGTCCTAAAGGGGTTTAGACTGTCAAATGTTCTTATCTAATCATATCATCCCGTGATGCTTCAATGCCAGTAGAGTACTGTCCATAAGTCCTAGGGTAACTAACTCTGCTAGCTATTCAATTCATTTTGGTCGAAGATTTATACTGGTTTTTTCATCTTCATTGAGAACCTTTTTGTTTTTAGCTCTGAGATTCAAAAATAACACTTTTTTTTTTTTCATTTTGGATGCTTTTGGTTTTAGCATCCCTTTGCCGAGCGAAAATATATAATAGACCATTTCAACATGTACTTCCTGCAGACATCCCCAAAATCTGTTTTGTAAAACTAGACTAAAATCCCAACGGGGTTCAGGTTTATTGTGTGACCCAAGCCAAATTCGATATATACGAGAAACGAGAAGCAGAACAATAGCTAAATAAGAGCACTCTTCTCGTTATAGCGCTCACAGATATGTATACCCGAGCCATCTAAAATGTCCAACACTAAAATTTTTATGTCGTATAGTTTAAAGCATCTGGACTCCCATTGGGCAGATCTTTGAGATCAAAAGTACCCCAGGTCCCAAATCATGTGACATCCGTATATATGCCTAACCTGTAAGGGTCGAGGTGCAGCTAGCTGCCC